CCCATCCAAGAGACCCAGTTCACCCAAAACAGATGGACCAGTCCTGACTGCTCATGATGAGAAAGACATTGGTCTTTCGTCACCCACATACCTACCCCCACACTCATTTTATCACACAAAAGATAACAGTGTCTGCTGAGAGCAATACATACTTGCGAATGGATGGATATGTCTATCCATAGATCTACAATGTTCATTTTCATGTTTGAAAGCATTAGTTTGCCTGCGAAATCCCTGAGACATCCCACCACTTAACAACTCAATTGTGGGTTGGTCTATTGTTGCTCTCCACCTGCTATTCCTACCCCACAGGACAGAGACAGCACACAAAGCCACCACTCTCGCAGTTTATGTTGACAACACAAAAGAAAAATGGAGGAAGGGCATACATCATTATGGAAGAAAAAAATATGTGAATGGCAAAAAAATGTATTTAAAAATTCAATGCTCTTATGAATTTTCAAACTGGGCATGATGGCACAAGCCTTTAATCCCAGCACTCAGGAGGTAGAAGCAGGCAGATCTCTGTTAGTTTGGGGCCAGCCTGGTCTGCATAGTGAGTTCCAGGACAGCCAGAGCTATAAAGTGAGGTCTTGTCTCAAACAAACAAACAAGGCACCAAAAATGTTTATCAAAAGTTTGAAAATCTAAGCAGGCCAATTTTAAAAAACACTTTAAAAAATTGTGCCAGGCTCTGAAAATAGGAAAATGATTTTTTGAACTGTGTATAGCTATATGATGGAATACTATGCTGGTGCTGATATGTTTACAAACATGAAACTATTTAGTGATGTAGAATAAGTTAGAAAATTGTAAATGCTGTAATCCTGACTGAAAATGCATGTTTAGGCATAGGGAAAATACCGAAAGCATGTCAGAATACTAACCATGCTCACTTGGCTATGATGGTTTTTAATGGCACCCTTCATCCACTATATATATACATACTATCTATATTCTATATATACACTTTCATATATATATATATTTCTATAGATTCAATATATATATTTAATTCTAAAGAAGCTTGTGCTACATGGTTGATAAGGGGACCCAGCCGGGAAGTGAGCTTACCATCTACTTAATGGAGGGACATGTAACCATGCTCCGAAGAGAACCTGCTGCTCTTCTATTTGGCTGCCAGGAAATTGAAACAACTGGCCCCAGGAAACTGGAATTCCCCCAGGGGCCTCAGGCTGGAAAAGGGAAAACACTGAAGTCTGGCACCAGTCATAGGAAAGTCCTCTGTCTCAGGAAGAGATTTCACAGAGTTCTAACAACTGCAGGCAGCCCAGGCTGGGTCTCAGTCAGTGATGAGGGTGGGACCCCGGGTGCTCAACTATGCATACCTCTTACCTCTTGCCTTCTATTTAAACCTAAACCTCATGCCAGGACCCAAAGATGGACTTTGGGGTCACTGAATCCCTTTGTTCCTCTTCCTAACGTGGCCACAATGAATAGATCTCCCTTTTCCTTTTTTCATTATTGCCTGTCGCTTTCAGTGGACTAGTGAGAATAGGTGGTTGTGCCTAGGTTGTTAGGGCTTTCAGGGCCAAGCCTCTGACCCTAACAACCCCAGTAACAGCCACATCTATGAAACGAGGTCTTCAGGACAACCCAGAAGATTGCCGGGGCTCTCTCCAGTGCTAGCTTTTCTTCTGCCCAACAAGCATGTATAGAATGCCCACGCAGCACTGTGCACACATGTGCTCTGACCCAAGGCCTGGGCACTTAGACTCAGACTGGAAAGCAACATTCAAGCTTCAAGCCCCTGGTGGCAGTTCACTTGCTTTTTCCTGTTAACCCTTAAATGACCACATTGTCTCTCGGGTCAAAACTTCATTCTCTCCACCAAGTTCAGACTCTGCCATGGTGGGGGTGTGGGGGGGGAGGGTGCATGCTGCTAAGGCCTTTGAAGGACTGCCTCTTCCAGAGGAACGTCACCAAGGAGGAATAAAAACCCATTCTAAGGTAGCCAGGCCCCATGGACAACCTTGAGTGAAAAGCTCACAGAAGATATTTAAGAGCTGTCAGGTGCTCCCCTCCTCTCTCTGCCCCTTTCCCCCTTATTGTTCGGCCTGGGAAATTCCTACTCGTTGCATGAACCAGTTCTGCCCGGTCATACTTTCCATGTACCCACACAAAGGCAGTGGGGCTTTTTCCTCTTTCCTGGCCACGCCAGAATGAGATGGCCCTTGTGTGATAAGCTCCTCATTCCTGTCCTTCAGTCCTTGCGTCCCCAGCGGTTTCCGCCTGGGAATGGGAAGGTGTGATCAGTTTGATAGGTGGGGATTGGCTTTTAAAACTAAGGCAACAATCTGAAAAGGGTAATGGATAGCTTAAAAAATCCAAGCATCCCCCCCCCAAAGGATTGCAATATAGAACTTGTGTTTTGTTGCTGCGAATGTCTGTGTGCTCTAAGTCACCCAGGGTTACTTCCCTAAACCACTAACTAGAAGGGCAGGAATCTGGGCTCCTCAGAGCTGTGTGTCATGGCTGAGACAGTACTGTCCCATGGAACCAAATAGCCACAGCCCTGGGGCCGGAAGGACCTCTCTCTAAGTTTAATTTTGAGGTCCATGAGGAAAGCAAGAACAAACTAGTGGTTTTGACCAAGAAGAAAACTTGGGGGCCTCACATCTACTCCTCTTGGCACCCTTGGACTTCTGAGGCCATACTTTTGTCCTGTATTTTGAAAGTCTGACAGCTGTCTCAACAGAAGTGCACCCCTTGCCGGCCTTCCCAGGGGGTCCAGGCCGATTGCTACTCCTGAGACCTGCCTCCTAGACCCAGCACTCCTCAGCCTCAGTGTCACTCAGCTGGGACCCCAAGGCCTGGCCTGGGGCTGGATGGCTCTGTTCATGGAGGGTACTTGACAGGACCTTGCATAGTGCAGCCAGCAGCATGCTTCACACCACCTGACTTCAGGAGAAATGCTATGGAGGGGCTGTAGGATCTCAGACAGCCTCACTAAAATGAGTGGTGCGCCATTGGGTAATGTGGCCTCTAAGGGTTTCCGTCTCCCATGTGGATTGGAGAGAGTACCCATACCCACTTCACACTGTGACTGAGGATTAAGTTAGCTAACATATACAAAGTGCTTTCAACAGTCACTCCCCAGCAAGTGTTCCATAAGCCACCATCTTTATCGACTCCCCCGTAACCTGTGGGTTTTCTTTATCTTCACATATGTATGGATAAGTCACTGGAGCTCTAAGAAACAGTTATCAGCCCTGGCTCACATGCCCAGTAGGGGCAGAGCTAGAACTTACATCAGAGTTCCTGGTAGCCATTCCTATATTCCCTTTCCTTTAATTTTCCCTGAGAAGCATCAGGCTAGACCCTGTGCTCAGCTTCCCTTCATCAATCTCCGCTAGCTCAGCACCCTCACAGGAGCAGTGTCTGGAAGGGTGGGAGCCCAAGGCAGTCCCTTCTTAGGATTTTTCTTGGGGCCCCAGAACTAAATCTTCACAGGGGATATCCTTGCAGTATTGTATGCAAATGTGCTATTTAATAAGACAGGTATTTAAAACTGGTTGTCACTGTATCCTGGCCATGTAAGGTTCTTCTAAGTCTGGTTTTAACTAGTCAGCGATGCACTTACTCAATAGAAAGAATCTTTATGATTTCAGTTAACGTAGTTCCTGAGATGGCCTCCAGGTAGCTGAGAATGGCAGTTGGCAATGGAAATGATAATGTTCCCATTTAATGGGCTAAGCAGCAGGTGTGCTCTGGTCCAGTTCTTTTTCCAACCTGTGGCTTTTCCCATTTCTATAGCTTCAGCCCCCCCCCCCCGACCCCTTTCCCTCCACATGCTGCCAACAGAAGGGGCAAAACCACCACTCTCCCCTGAGGGTGGATGGTGTCTGGGAAGAACATAATGGCTGTGGAGGTATTTTTAAACACCAGCACTCTCGGCTGATCAGGAGGCCCTTTCAATCCTGAAATGCTTTGTTCATCTTTTAATGTCATTTTGATGTTTTCAGGTGGTTTTGCTGGATTTTTATTATAGTCTTTTTTTGAGACTTTAAATCTCCTTGATTTTTATGTGGTAAATTTGTTAATACTATTATTCGATTAGCCTGAGTGTCCTGGAAGTCCTGCCTGGTTGATTCTCAAGCAGCCCTCCCTGAAGCTGTGTGCGGACCTGGCCATGGGGACTAAGAAGGACTCTTGGCAGCATGGGCATTCTTGAAGTGTCAGTGGCCTTTAGCTGTCCAGGAGGAGCTGCAGAGAAACTTTCTGTGGTGCTTGCAAAGGATTAGAAATGCCACCTGCCCCATGCTAGGTGACCAACAGGTCATGTAATACAGATAAAATAAGAAATGACTTCAGCATCGGCCCCAAGCTCAACTCACACCAAGAACTTTCTGAGAAAAGAAACTGCCTGTTAATGAATACTCAGCCCAGAGAAGCACATATCCAAGCAAGTGACAGTGTCACTGTCCTTCTGGACAAGGTCAGAGGACCCTGGCTTCTCTGGATCCAGGGGAGAGCATGGAGACAAGCATGGGGAATGAGCTCACTGAACAAACTCGTAAGAATCCCCCCCACTTTCCTTTAAGCCAATGGTTAGCAATAGAACATTCTGAAAGCAGACAGGTGGGACTAGAACCCCTGACACCTCAGGACATGTGAAGGAAGAACTTCAGATCAGTTTCCTGGAGCTTGTCCTCTGGGGCCCCCATCTTCCTGCCCTACTCTGATTCCACACGCCAGTGTGAGTGAGCCTCTGCTATTTATCCTAAGCAATGATCACACAGCTCCCTGGATAAAGAAGGGTCCATGTGTAACCCCTTCCTTCCCTTTCACTTTAAGAGTCTGTTCACTTCTGCAGCCAAAACAACAAGAAAGAAAACTTTTCATTTATGTGAGACTACAACACAGGAGACCTCTGGATGTGGTCTCCATTCTCCGTGCCCTTGTTCCCACATCCCTGTCAAATGCCACACGGGCTCTCTCGCTCACTCAGACAGGTGGCTGCTGACTCACTCACTCACCTCCAGCACTATCTCCTTCAGCTGGAACTGTTTCTGTGCGACCTTGTCTGAAGACACCGGCTCATGGTAATAGAGGCACAGCAGTTCATATCTCTTCAACATCTGCTTGAAGCTCTTCTCCGAAAGGCTGACCACTCGGTCCTTCCCGTCATACGTGGGGAAGTTCAGCCCCTCTTCTGCCCTGCTGAAGGACAGCAGATAAACCCCCAGCAGGAGCAGGGGAGCTCGCTTCATTTGGGAAAAATCTTGTTTCTCGGTCCCCAGAATAGACATCATGGGCGACAGGATGGGACACTCTTGGAGGCTTCACTGAGACCAGCAGAGAGCAAAGAGGCTGAGCTCACCTCCTCAGGTCCTGCAGTGTAGTCTCAGGCTCAGGACAGTCTGTGGAGGCTTAACGCACACATGCGCAAAGAGCGAGAGCCAGGCAGGAGGCTGGGAGGCCAAGCCCTAGATACCTTGCATAGCTCTCCCAGCCTCTGTCTCATTAAGAACTCCATTTTTAGGATGCAGTTGTTTCAGGCTAAAAATAAATCATGCAATGAATAATAATAAAAAAAAAAGTCAGATATGACACTGTTGAGGGATTTGTCCACACAGTGTTACAGTATGTCAGTGGTGGGCAGGGTGAGAATGAAGATACTGTACCACAGTGAAATAAGGAGGGGCCAAAGGTCAAGGAAGAGAGGGAAACTCATGCAGGGGTGGGGGCCGGTGAGAAGAGAGAGCAAGAGGCGGTGATGGAGAGGTTAGGGCATCAAAAATGCCGCTTTTGGACATTGTGCTGCTCAGTTCCGGGCAACCATGCTGGCTTTGCTGATCCGCTGAGACCAGCACACTCTCTGCATGCCTTTCTAAGTCCTCTTGGAAGCCCAGTCCTGGCAACACCATGCCCACATGTCCTTGCCAGTCAGGGACACAGAGACTCACTTTCCCACTAACCCAGGACACAAAGGACCATAGCAGTCCCTGCTCATTTTCCTTTCCAGGTCCCAGGTTGAGGGCTACCAGAGTCAGGAGAACCAGTGATCATTTTCAAGTCAGTTTCTTTTTAAGTTTTCCAGTTCCTACAGGAACATTTTGAGTTTCCTACCAGTGTCCTGCCATTTTTCTTTCTCTTTTCTTCTCCCCTCCCTCACTGACCCCTCCTCCCCACCTTCATTAACTCTAAGGCTTCGTTTTTTGCCCCTTTCTTCATCAGCCACAGACTGATACGGAGTTTGTCCAAGCTGGGATGGAGCAGAGTCGAGATCTCCACTCTGCCTTCTTTGTGGCTGGTAGATGCTGGAGCATCCTTCCTGAATCTCAGGTCCCCATTATTTAAAATGAAGAAGACTACAACTTTGGTGCTTAGGATACACAAAACAAGCCCTTGAAAACAGTAGCCGCTGTATGGGATTCCTTCTCGCTGCAGTGGAGCTTGTCCGGTCCATCCTCACAATGAGCTCAGCTGGCCACAGTGTCGGCCTGCTCCCTGCAGATGAGCTGACTGGGGCTGAGCACTGTACCATGGGTGGGTCTGAGATTCAAGGTTCTCAAAGGACCCACACAGCTGATGTCAGGACTCTGGGCTATGTGACTTCTCATTCAGCAATCTCTTTGCCCATACCCTTTAGGTGGCTCTTTGGTACTATCTTCTGGTCCTATAAAAGTTCTGTTATGCTCTTCACAGAGGTTGGTGGTGCTTAGAAATCTGGCCAGTGTTTATCTTCTTTGTGCTAGAAAGCCAGTCACCGGCACCTTTCCCAGCAGCTGGAAGAAAAAGCTAATCCCACTGCTGTCTGACTGTATTGAGGCCCTCTGCTGCCATGAGAGCTCTGATGACTCCTCACTTTCATGTCCAGGAGGGTGGGGCCTTGGGGAGCCCAGCACTGATAACCCTGACCGATTGCAGTCCTCCCCAGGGGCTAGTCCTCCCCAGGGGCACTGTCTCTGTGCTATCTAAAGGGAGGGTCCTCAGCAACAGTTCTTGCCAAGCCTTCAAGATGCCTCCCTCCTTAGAAAGTGTAAGGGTGGGTGGCCAGGTGGGTGGGGGTGTGTCCTGTCTTTTTGAGGTCAGCTCTGCAAACTTCCCAGTGGTCTAAATCTCACTGGGTTACCTTTATTTAGAAGCCGCTCTACTTTTCTCAATGAGAAGCTAGACTTGAAGTCTCAAGTCAATTAAAAACACAAAACAAAACAATTCTCCTCTGCCCTTGGAGTTTTGTCTGTTGTAAGTCTGTGGTGGGCTTGGCCCTGGCCACTGAAACCTTTAGTGTCAGAGTCTTTGCATTTCCTATTGACTTGTTATCCAACTTGGGTGTCATGACCTGTGCCCCAAGTCAGCTCAGCATCTGTTCTCAATAAAACAATTAAAAGGGTCAAGTCAATAGAGCAGAAAACGGATTTATTCAATGTGTGCCCATTGGGAAAAGAGACAGTGATGTGCAGTAACCCCTTCAAGTCCATCCTTTGGGTTCTGGAGTGAGGCTGAACCTTAAATAAGGGGCAAGGATATACTGCCTAAGCAGTCCCACGGTGCCCTTTGCCATGAAGGTATGACCTTTAAATGGAGGTGAAAATATATGTATCTGAAAAGATAAAACAATTTGAACGAGAAAAGTAATGTTGGTCTCTCTGTGTGTGTGTGTGTGTGTGTGTGTGTGTGTGTGTGTGTGTGTGTGTGTGTAGTAGCCCTTCTGGTGTGGTCCCATCCATCACTGGCACTTCATTATCTGGCTTCAGCCTCATCCTGTAAGGTGGTCTAACAAGTTGTTAGAACTGTGTGAAAACTCCATGGGAGACAAGTCGCCTCTCAGGCTGTTGCCCTCCCCTTCTAGTATATGATTCCTTTCCCATTCCTTTGGGACCCCTTGTTTCACAGATGACCCAGTCTTTTCCAGAATGCTTTCATTTCTGCCAAGCCCACCACAGACTTACAACAGACAAAACTCCAAGGGCAGAGGAGAATTGTTTTGTTTTGTGTTTTTAATTGACTTGAGACTTCAAGTCTAGCTTCTCATTGATGGCTCCAGTGAGAAGCTCCTGTCAACAGGGAGACTCTGTGGGGATTGCAGGTCCCCCCGGGGAAGGAGCAGTCTCTGACATACCTGTGGTGCTGAGGGTCGGTGGAAGTGGGAAGGAGAACTTGCATCCACCCTTTAGGGAGAAGCATGTTTTTCTGGCTGGCAATCCACCCTGGCAGCCTTCCTGGAGTCTCTTCTTGCTGTATTCCTCATTAGCCTTATGGATTTTATAAACATGAATGTTGCATCCATGTCTAGATCAACCTATGTGCCTCAAAGCAGCTGTTTCAGTCCTGATCAAACCAGCGTGGAACACACTTCAGGGTTTGTGTGGGTCTACTGTAGCCTGTGGGGTTATAGATGCAATTAAAAGGCATTTTTCAGTTTCACTGTATTTGTTTTTTAACAAGAAGGAGTAAACAAACAAACAAATACAGATAAATGTTCTTTGTCACAATGTGATACAAGCCCTTTGTAGGCGGACTTTTCTTTTCTTTTCTTTTTTTCTTTCTTTTTGATATAATCTGTTGGCCAGGTATAGTTTCTTATCGGCTAGCTCTGTCTTAATTATTAATCCATTTCTGCTGATCTATGTATTTTCATGTGGTCTTACCATCAAGAGGCAGCTGGCGGTTCTGCCTTCTCCAGACTCTCCATCTTGACTCCTCCTTACCACTTCAAATTTCCTCCTTGTCTCCTAGTCACTCCTATCTCCTTTCCTATTGGCCAACAGTGCTTTATTCATTAACCAGTATGAGAAACATATATACATAATGGCACCTCCCATCACAAGAATTATTTAAGATGGATTTGAGTGAGCTGCAAGGAAGGGGCCAAGGACAGACAGTAACATGGCAGAGTCACCACAGTGGTACATGTGGAAAGGCGGGTCTTATGCAGAGAGGCAGATGTAACAAACAGGGTTTGAAAACACCTTCCTTCAGTCTGTTGGATTACATGTGGGAGCAGTCAGCCAGGGGAAATCCCTGGAAGACATGCAGTCTGGAGATTCTGTGTTCATCCACCAACTGGCAAGCTGCCGTGTAGTAAGAAAAAGACGGGTAGAGCCAGGAGATAGCGGAGATAGTTCAGTATGGAACTTAGGTGCAGTTGGAGACCTGAGCTCAGATCTGTAAAAAGCCCAGCAGAGTAGCTCAGTCCTACTGAAGAGAAAGAGGCAGGATAATCACTGAGGCCTGCCAGCTATACAGTCTTGTCCAGTAAAGTAAGGTAGGCAGACTTTTCTGTCCCACCAGTCAATACCCAAATAACCACACAGAGACTTAATATTAATTATAAATGCTCAGCCAATGGCCCAGGCTTGTTACTAGCTTAGTCTTACATTTTAAATTAACCCATATTTCTTATATACACTCTGCCAAGTGGCTCGGTCCCTTTTCTCAGTACAGCAAGTTCATCTCCTTCTTTCCCAGTCCCCTTGTGATTCTCAGATTCCTCCTCTTCTTGGAATTCTCTTTTTGTCTGTAAGTCCCGCCTAACCTCTACCTGTCCAGCTATTGGCCAGTCAGCTTTTTTTTATTAACCTAATCACAATGACATATATTCACACCGTGTAAAGGAATATTCTACAGCCTTTGGCTTTCTAACAATTTCCACCTGTTGTCTCTGAACTGGCACATCTAGGATCCCCCCCCCCCCCACCTCACTCCTTTCCACTGTTCTTCCACGACTTCAAGAACATAATTCAGGTTGATTTTCACAGTAACCCAATTCACAGGTAAACTTGGACTCCAAGCCTCGCGTGTTTTCTTTACTGATCAGTTACACAGATTTTCCAGCGCATCTTCTACACGCTACTTTTTTTTTGGGTACAGAAGATAGACACACAGTAAACCTAAACTCATGAATTTACATCTTAGGAGAGAGGGAGAGATTGAGCATGCGTGCCTGCTTACATCATACAATTTGTCACATAGGGAAATAATCTCTCAACCGTTGAGGAAGACAAAAGTAGAGATAATGGCAACTGGCTAGTTACTGGGAGAGAGCAGATGGGGGAGGCAGAGGCAGGAAAACTGCTGCAGTTTCGAGACCATCTTTGTCTACATGATGACTAGAGAGAAGCTTCCTTTCTCATTAAAAAAAAAAAAAAAAAAAAAAAAAAAAGGTACCTTTTGTTATCAGAGTGAGGGCCAGGGCCTGTGCCCTGGCAGCCCCAGGGGTCTATGGCTGGCCACTTGTCCTCAATAGGCCACTTAAAGAGACAATAGTGGAAAACAGAGAAAGGAGTTTTATTCAATGCGGCCACACCAGAAGAGAAAGTAAGTA